CATTTTGTGGAGAGAAGGCTTTGGACTACATTTTAATTTCTTTCCTACTTACTATTCTATTCAATTTTTTTCTTTATACAATTTATATAATTTCTTTATAAAAATACAACTATATTTTAACTTTATTAGGTTAAATTTTTTATTATACTGATTTAATATTTTTATATTGTATCTATAGTTATTACTCCTTCCTTCCTTCTTTCCTTGCTTTTTTTTTTTGCTTAATTCTTACCTGAGGATATTTTTTCGATTGCTTCTCAGAGAGAGTGAAAGGGAGGGGGAGCGAGAGAAAGAGAAACATCAATCATCTGTTCCCGTAGGTGCCCTCGCTGGTGATTGAACCCACAGCCTTTTGGTGCACAGGACGATGCTCCAACCAACCCAGCCAGCCATCCAGGGCTGATTTCCTTTTCATTATTCCAAGGATTACTTAACATACACTGTAAGGGAAAACATGTATGAATTAGACTGTATCAAAATTTAAAATTTTTGTAGGACAGGATACCATAGACCAACCAAATTAAAAGCCAGATAGCAGGCTGCAGAAGGTATCTGCAACAGATATCTGAATTATCTAGAATAGTTTAACATTCTACAGAGCAATAATACAAGAGGTATCACAGAAAAATGACAAATAACATGAATAAGCAATTCATAGGAGAAATGTTAATGGTCAATAAGTAATGAAAAAATGTCTATCCTCAGTACTTAGTAAGTATATGCAAATTAATACAATAGATGGCAAAACTTTAAAGCCTGATCATATTTTTTATTGGTGGGATTTTAGATTTGCACATCTACTTAGGACAGAGTAACATCTAAAAATTAAAAATGCATTTATTTTGTGAACTAAAAAAATCTATATTTATATACTGTGGAGAGACTCTAGCATACATGCTTAAGAAAACCTAGGTAAGATTTTTTGCAACGCTGTTTATAAAAGTGAAAATTGAAGCAATTTTATTTTCCAACCGGTAGATAATTTGATGAATAAAATGGGGTAAATTCATGTACTGGAATACTTTATAGCATCTAAAAAAGCATAGCTATATTTACTTATACCAATAGGTATAGAATATAAATCTTGAATGGAAAAAGTAAATTTTAGAATGGCATATATAGTATAATGTCATTGATGTACCCAAAGCATGCAAAAACAGTGCAATATATTATTCTGGGATATACACATACACATACATACAAATGTATATATATATATATATATATACTGGAAAAATATATACAAAACTCATGTCAGTGGTTCCTTTTGGAGAGATGGAATGGTGAATAAGGACTGGAGGTAGTAGTCAAAGATGTTATCTTCACCTGTATTGTTATTACTTTAAGCCATAAATAACAAAATAGTTGGTCCTGTGTTGTTGGAATATGACTATTTGTTACATTAGTTTTTGTAATTTCATGCATGTTTTAAATCTTTCTCAAAAATTGTATGAGATGCGTTCTTAAACTAGAAACACAGGTTACACATTTCTACCCTGGGATGATGGTGATGTCATTGACAGAGTGTGAAACAAGGGAGATTTATAGATAAAAGACCTTTAGGTGTCAGTGGGTTTTCCAAATAAAGATGCTTACTAGCCCTGGTCAGGTGGCTCAGTTGGTTGGAGTGTTGTCCCATACACCAAAAGGTTGTGGGCTTGAACCCTGGTCAGGAGTCAACCTTTGGATATTTCTAACATCGATGTTTCTCTCTCTCTCTCTCCCCCCGCCCTCTTTCCCTGCCTCTCTTTCTAAAATCAGTAAAAACATCCTCAGGTGAGGATTAAAAGAGTGATGCTTACCATATAATTGGAAATTAGAACTTAGAGCTAAAAAAATAAGTAAGTCCACCCCGAAGATGCTGGTTTTTTAATTAGTACAGAAATAATACTGAAAGCCTTGGTGCTGAACTGATGCTAGATACCATTCTTGATAGAATAGAGAATGTGAAGAGAGAAGGTGGCTAAGGATGACACTTTGGGAGAGCAGTCAGAATTAAGGGTGAAATCAACTGAAAAGAAATAGGAATAAAAACAAAGCCAGACAGTTTATAAGTTTACTAGAGGCCTGGTGCACGAAATTTGTGCACTTGGGCTGTTGGGGGGGGGGGGTCCCTCAGCCTGGCCTATACCCTCTCGCAGTCCAGGAGCCATCAGTCAGACATCTTTAGTGCTGCTGTGGAGGCAGGAGAGGCTCCCGTCACCGCCGCTGTGCTTGCCAGCCTTGAGCCCGGCTTCTGGCTGAGTGACGCTCCCCCTGTGGGAGCACACTGACCACCAGGGGACAGCTCCTGCATTGAGCGTCTGCCCCCCGGTGGTCAGTGCATGTCATAGTGACCGGTCATTCCGCTGTTTGGTCGATTTGCATATTAGCCTTTTATTATATAGGATTATAATGAAAATCAAACGAAGGGAAGGATTTCAATAAGGGGTAGTCAATAATGCCATTTGTTTGGATAAGTAGAGTCAGGTGAAGACTAAGAGGACTTTGCTGCGGTTGGCATTTACTAAAAGCTCAGTGTTGCCTGGCCAGTGTGTCTCAGTGGTTGAGTATCAAGCTGTTAACCAGGAGGTCACAGTTCGATCCTGGTCAGGGCACATGCCTGGGTTGTGGGCTCGATCCCCAGTAGGGGACATGCAGGAGGCAGCTGATCAATGATTCTCTCTCATCATTGATGTTTCTCTCTTTCTCCCTCTCTAAAATCAATAAAAACAGATTAAAAAAACAACAAAGCTCAGTGTTGACCTTTGCAGAACCTTTTAATGGGTAGGGTACAGAAGCTGTATTTCAGGGGTGTGAGGAGATTAGCTAATCTGAATATTCCTTTTGGAATCAATCAAGATAGAATTTGAGTTTAATTGTAGTATGTTTTAGTTAAGAACTCCATTGTAAATTTTTTTCATAAATATGCTAAAAAGAATCATGTATTAGCCCTTGTACAGGAGTTAAAAATTTTTTTTTTCCAGATACTAAACATTCTCTAATAGTAATAAAGAAACCAAGTCCTTGAAATTAGTTGTCCTAAATGTTATTTAAAACTAGAGGCCCGGGGCACATATTCGTGCACCAGTGGGGTCCCTTGGCCTGGCCTGCACCCTCTCACAATCTGGGACCCCTCAGGGGATGTCAGACTGGTGGTTTCAGCCCCAATCCCTGCAGGCCACGCCAAGGGACCCCACCGGTGCACGAATCCATGCACCAGGCCTCTAGTATGCATATAAGATCTTTGGTTAATGTCTTCCTGCCCTCCCCACTCCCCCCTTCCCTCTAAGATTCATCAGTCTGTTCCATGTTTCCTGTGTGTTGAATGTCTGCCTCCTGGTGGTCAGTGTGTGCCTGTGTGTTGAGTGTCTGCCTCCTGGTGGTCAGTGCGCATCATAGCTACCGGTCAAACGGTCGCTTAGGCATATATATACATATACTAGAGGCCTGATGCATGAAATTCTTTGTGAATCTTTAGACTGCATTCCTAATCTATTGTCTATCTTACAGGTTTGGTGAACCAGGCCTTACTTAATGGTCCTAAATCACTTGATTTCCAGCTTATTATTCTTGATAGATATATTTTTCTTGTAGCTTAGTTTTCTTAACCTTTCCTCCCGCTAAGTATGCCCAACACATCACACCCCAGCTTTGAATTTCATCCTTAGATTGGTTTTATCAGAAAAAAAGCTTAGGCTGTTTGGCCTCCTCTTATTGTTCTCCCACCAATTCACTGCTCAAAATTGTTCCCATTTTAAAAAAATTTCTCAGACTTTTATCTATTGCTTTAGCTTTTATTAAAAAGCCAGACAACCATTTTGCAATTTACAATTCATAAATATAATAGTAAAATGGGTTTAATTTTTTATCCATTTTATAACTTTTAAGTTTTTTTTTTTTAAATATATTTTATTGATTTTTTACAGAGAGGAAGGGAGAGGGATAGAGAGTCAGAAACATCGATGAGAGAGAAGCATCAATCAGCTGCCTCCTGCACACCCCCTACTGGGGATGTGCCCGCAACCAAGGCACATGCCCTTGACTGGAATCGAACCTGGGACCCTTCAGTCCCCAGGCCGACGCTCTATCCAGTGAGCCAAACGGGCTAAGGCAACTTTTAAGTTTTATAGATGAAGATTGTTTTGTAGAATTTTTGTCCTTGAAATCATAGATACTGTGTGACTTTGGTCAAAATTTTAACTTTTACACATAGTTTCCTGATGTGTAAAATGAGGTCATTGAACTAAATCAGTGATTCTCAAATAATTTTACCACTGGTAGTTAAAGAGCTTTTAGTACTAAAATAGGAAATTGGCATCCTTCTCCCAAATTATAGAAAAAATTAATGGATAGACTATCTCCTACCTATAATTTTTTAAAACTTTAAAGCCTGTTTTGTCCTTTGTTTGTACTAGTAACTAGTAGAGCTCACAATTCTTAGTTGTCTTTTTAAGTGTTATATATTATCTCATTCATGGTAGGGAAAGAGATCATGATGTTCAAGTTCCTTATTTTTTTAAAACCTCTAGGTGATGTTGTCTCTAGGCTCCTTTCCAACCATAACATTTTTTGATTCTGTGAACTAGATAAAGGGAAAACACAAATGAAATCACCAGGGCAAGCTACAAAAAAACACACTGAAAACCTATATGGTATTTGAAATAATTGTATATTTATATATATCTCCCAAGAATTTTTTCTACCATGGTTACTACAGGATCATAAAATCCATGGAATAGCCAAAGGTATCTAATTATTAGACTTTAATGATAATGGTTATATTAGGAAGACTTGTTTTCAAAATGGGGAGGTTGGAGGATGGAAGAGTTGATGTCCAGACTATAAAGAATTATGAAATGGAAAGAACTGCTCGGGACCCTGGTTGAAAGATAAAGGTCATTCAGAAACTTTACCCTGTTCTTTCTTTATCTAAGCTGTGAAATGTCACAAGTTGGGAGTTTAAACTGCTCCTTCCTTCTGTATTAATTCTCTTTTGTCGATTAACGTATTACCCCAGATTTAGCAGCTTAACCAACATTTATTATATTGTGTAGTTTTCAAGGTAAAGGTGTGGGGAATGGGTTATCCTCGTGGTTCTAACTCAGGGTCTTTCAGGAAGCTGCAGTCATCTGAAGGCTTGGTTGGCACTGCAGGTTTTGTCTCCTAGTAGCTCTGTCACATGACCGTTGGCAGGATGGCATTTTCCCTGCCTAATGGGCTTCTCCACGGAGTTATTCGAGTATACTCAAGACATGGCAGTGAGCTTCCTATGAGAGAGTGATTCAAAAGGAAGAGATCAAGCAGACAATTTCTGAAGTCACACCCCATCACTTCAGCTTTCTTCTCTTTGTTGGAAGTAAGCCATTAAGTCCAGCCCACACTCAAAGGGAGAGGGGGAAATTAGGCACCACCTTTCCAAGGGAGGATTATAAAAGAATTTTCAGACAAGAAAATCCATAGGTACTAAATGCATCATAACAGATAAACAGGCCTTGTTACTTTGGCGGTTGGGGAGTGTTTGAGGGTAAGGGCTCTAGAGCCAGAGGTGCTTGGGTTCAAATCTTGGCCCTGCTTCCCGTTAACTCTGACCTCGGTCGAGGAACCTTAGATTCCTCATCTATAAAATGAGCACAATAGTAATACCCATTTCATAGGAAGGTAGAGAGGAATAAGTGAGAAAAGTGAATGTAAAGCATTTAGCATAGTTAGTGGCTTTTATTTCAATAAGAATTAGCTATTTTTTACCTTAAATTTTCTTTTTTTTAAAAAATATATTTATTGATTTTTCACAGAGAGGAAGGGAGAGAGAGATAGAGAGTTAGAAACATCGATGAGAGAGAAACATCGATCAGCTGCCTCCTGCACATCTCCCACTGGGGATGTGCCCGCAACCCAGGTACATGCCCTTGACCGGAATCGAACCTGGGACCTTTCAGTCCGCAGGCCGACGCTCTATCCACTGAGCCAAACCGGTTTCGGCACCTTAAATTTTCTTGCTAGGACACAGCAATAACTCTGTAATGTTATCAGAATATGAATTTGCTCTCTAGTCTACCTATTTTTACTCAGTTTTTTATTCTGCTTATTAATACCCGCTTAATCTTTGAAGACTTGAGAAATGCAGAATGTGTGTGTGATGTGTGCATATACACACATATGCATGTTATATATGTACATATTCACATATGGTTTGAAAAAGTATGTGTATATTTAAATCCTGTCACATTTATATTTTTTACATTTTGCCATGTTGCTAAGTTCTTCAAATACGTTTTTTTAAAATATATATATTTTTATTAATTTTAGAGAGGGAGAGAGAGATAGAAACTGCAGCACCCCCTACTGGGAATCGAGCCTGCAACCCAGGCATGTGCCCTTGACCAGAATCGAACCTGGGACCCTTCAGTCTGCAGGCCGACGCTCTATCAACTAAGCCACACCAGCCAGGTCTTCAAATATGTTTTTAAAGAATGTATTTCTATTTCAACAGCATCCTATTCTTACTTGCTATTCCCAGTATATTATTGGTGTATAAAAAGTATTGATGGCTTTTGAAAGCCTAGTTAAAATAGCAATGCAGAATTCCATTTACAATAATAGCATGGCAGAATTGCATATATAGTCCAGGAAATTTTTTTTTTTTTTACAGAGCATTAAGTATAAAGGAATCAGTTTTTTCTTCATTAATTTTTATCATTAACACACACATACATATATAGTATATATGTGTGTATATAATAACTGTGAAGTATTGTGCAGGAGTAGATACAGCTTCTATTTTCTTATAAGACCTGGATACATATAATTAGGATGTATAGCAATTAAAAAACACACACACTATTCTTAAGGTATAGATCAAGAAGCAAATAGTAAAGTAAAAAGTTAGGTATCAGGCTTTAAACTGGCTCCCACATTGAAGAGAGCCAAGCTTACCTGTCATATCCAGAAAAAAACAAACAAAAACCTTTGTCTTACATTAGTCTCTTCCCTTCTAAATACATGAAAAACTACTGATTGATAGGAGTGGAAATTCAGATATGTTATAATTTCAATTATCTGCCTAAAGCCAGCAATTCCCTTTATGTTCCTTATTATCCCAGGCCTGGAAACTATCTCAGTCTAAGATGCTGCCTATCAATGGATGGTCCTTATTTTAAACTGACTAGATCTAAAAAAATAAAAGCTATCAGTCATATATTTCCTTTTGTCCAAGGAGTAGCAAGTTTACCTACTGCAAGAAAGAGTTCCTTACTTGGTTTAAGGGGAGTTGTACTTTGAAAATGGCATACAGATTCTTTTTTGGGGAGATTGTGGTAGTCGGGCCAGGGGAAAGGGCCAAAAGAATAAATTAGTATTCAGAAGAAATGAAAAAGATAAAAAGTTATAGCTATGTAAATTTATTCCGAAGTTGCACTGACATGTCAGGCAAATATTTTTTAAATGATATTGCATTAATATTACCACTGGAAGAATATTTTTCTCTAGATTATCAGCACAGTTCATTCAATTCCGATAATAAAAATTATGCCTTATTTTCACTTGTAACTACCAAATCCTTTTTGTGTTTATTCAGCAAATACTTATTGAGCACTTACTATGTAGGAGGCACTGTTGTACTTAAATTTTGTGTAGGAACAACTTTAAGGAAAAAGTTGTTTCAAACTTCTTTTATATTGTGAAATTCTGAAACTAGGGAAGCATTTTGGTAGTTTTTGTTTTCATGAAGCCACATCTGAATCATTTTATTGGTTTGATTTCCTGTGTTAATAAATTTATAGTCAACAAATGGCAATTTACCTCCCCCTTCTATTGTGTTTTAATAGGAACTTCATTTGTAATGAGGTTTCTATCAAAAAGATTTTTTGAAGCAGATGTTGCTATAAATGAATACGTTTATTTGTTCCCCAGTGAACCCAGTGGAAGTGAAAGGGTGCTTGAATGTCATGACGACCAAATTGGGGAAGGATCATCCACCCCCCCAGGGGTAGGAATGTTGTTGTTTCCTAATAAATGCCTGCTGAGTGTGCCTTCAGCCAAGAAAAAGGACGCAGGGGTCTCTCAAGTAGTTGGAAGGGTCTTACTTTCCAAGTACAGCTTTTAGAATATTTTGTGCATATGGCTTTTTTTGGGGGTTGCTATTCCTGTTTTAAAGTGCAGCCTTTTCCAGTGCAGGGGTTCCATGTTGCCTAAGCTTTAAAACGGCCGAAACAAGTTAAAGAGGCACCTTTATTTACGGCTGCGGGACCAGGCGTTAGGGCTGTTCCGGGAAGAAACTGGACTCATGGCTCTCCTCCAGCGCGGGGACAATTGCAGACTTTCCTTCCGCAGAGCGTGAAACGCGCCT